TATTACCCATAATATCAAAGTCACAGCTGCTACACTGAGAATTCTACATTTTGATATAAACAGCTGGTTGCCAATTCTCCCCTCTCATTGATGTGTGGTGTAGGATGAGGAGGGCGTTGGAGATCCACTTCTTTTTGCACTTCTTTTACGTTGTAGCTTTATACTGTGCTGTGTATTTATATTGTTCATCTTATTCAAATGTATGCGCACATTTATAGATCTTGTAGTGGATGAATAAAAGACTTAAGTTGCCCCTCATAACCAATGAACACTATTAGCCTTTAATATGTGATTTAAAACGATTCAGTAACCAAACTCTTCACAGGTGCCCTCTGCAGTATGTTTTACTGCATTCTCATATTCAACCACATTTTCTAATTTATTTTAGGGCTACAAAGTCTAGTTTTCACTGACAATGTTTTAGTCTAAATTAAATTGATAAACATGTAAAAGTCAGAAATAGTTATCTGCTGCCTTAAAGCATAACACAATAAGAACTGCCCTACGTTTTATGCTGATGTGCCTTTCATACTTCATACAGGTTTTATTTTGACATGCTGCATTGCTTTGTAAAGAAGCACATGGTGCATTTCATGTTTGCAAATAAATAAATTAAAAGAAACACTTAAACAAGTTAGCCTGTAATGCAAGCAATGCAAAGAAAGATAGCATTCATAATTATTAGCTTTACAGTCATATATAAAAGTTTGACGCCCTTGGTCTAATGACATGTTTTGCTGATTTTCTAACTGAATATAAGTCAACCTACACAGAACACACTTAAATATGGAATTTGAGGCATTTTTTGTGTGCAGTTTCTACTGACCTGTTTAACATATTGGGACAAAAAAGGCCACATTTTATGTTTTATTTTTCCCCCAATATGTTCAAATAAACAGTCATCATGTTCTCTTCAAGTTACTTAACATCTTTTATCCTTGTGGTCAATTTGACCCCAGCAATTTAAACCTCCAGGATATATCAAAATATCAAACATCATCAAAAATACCTGGTGGGAAGTGTGTTGTCCCCTCCTCCATGTCATGTGAACTATCAGGGGTTGTTGGACTAATACAGGTATGGTTATGTTAGGTTAGGACCCTAAAGCAGAGGGAAGTTTTTTGAAGATTCTAAAATTGCATGTTATAGTGACATTTCTAATGTTTCGTACAGCTAAAACAGCCTGGGGAACATCAATGCGTACAAAATGTGTACAGGACACTAAAAACATGTCATTATCTTAATTTTGTTTTCCCATTTGTTCCCATTAAATTAGGGAAAGTAATTAAGTATTAAGCAAAACAAAAATGATGTCAGTCATTTACATGTGGTCAAACTGACCCCAACGATAATAAGACAGTTAAATGTGCAGAAGCATGTCCTCTGTAGAGGGTGTGTTAACTTATTTTCACTTAGAAAAAAAAATGTAATTTGACCAGCGAGTGCACAAACTTGCATATAACTGCATGCAGAGCACTCAGTTCCGTCTGGCTGATACCTGATCAGTTTAATGAGGTCAGTATTGATGCTGGATTGGACCGGTGCATCTCTAGTCTTTTTTAAACATGCAGGAACTGGTTTGCTGGTGCATTTTATTTGTTCCAACTCTTTTACAAACCTCAGAAAATGTAAATATCATTATATTGTGTCTTCAAGTAAAGCCATGTTATAGTTTTGCTGTAGTAAAAGCTACACATACAGCAACACCACAGAAAGCTCCAAAATCTCCCTGTACTGCAGAGAAGCTGTAGAATTCACGCCCTTCACCCTTAAGAGTCCTCCACTCCTTCACAATCTCCGCTATTAGCTGAGCTTTGATCATGTCAATAGTTACCACTGCATCAACAAACACACAGCACCATGTGTGTGTACGCCTCCTGCCGAGATATCATTTCATCCTGCCCAGACCCTCCTAATCAGTCTAGTGGCTCCCTCGCTTAAGATGACAGGGGAAAAGCAGCCCTCCTCTCTGTGTTCTCTCGCCTCTTAATAGAAATCAATATCAGCAGCCTGACACATTGTTACAGATGAAGAAGGACCAGGGAGCATGAAATTACTGATAAGGGGGGAGACTGTCTTTATGCAACACGAGAGCCAACAATGCTGCCTATGTCCCTCTAGTAGATTAAGCCATTGAGTCGACCAGAATGGTTTGGCATGTAATTGGAAATGCGGAGGAATGCTTCAACTTTTTCTTTCCTTTCTCTTTATTTCTTTATTCCTTTATTTCTGCAGATTCGCTGACGCTGGAATACAGTGAGGCGAACACAAGGAGGCAGCTGTGTAAGCTTTATCTCCTCATGTTTTTAAATGGGCATCCAAGATTCTGAGATTTGCCCCTTAAATCAAGCTGATGTGAGAGATACTCGCCAAGAATACAAAAGTGCTTCCCCTCCCTTTTCTGCTTTTCTGCGGATGCTCTTGACCTTTTCATGTATAGACCCAATCCTTTTCTGAACCACGTAATCTTTCACATGCGCACATATATATACAGCGTAAGTATTACAGTAGCAAAGCTCCTCGGCCCTGTGGATTATCCTACTTAAGAATTGACCTCCTGGAATGGAGAGTGCTGAATGAAGGACAAGGAGTGTGTCATGCCGAGCGTGGTGATAACACAACTGTGCCAAGACCTTGAGGACTCCGGCAGATTAAACTGATTGAAATCTCATTTGTTTCTTTTCTTTCCCTTTCTCTCTCACTCTCCCTCCCTCTTTCTTTCTTTCCTTTTCTTCCCCTCCAGTGGACTGCGTCCTGCTTCTGCGGGCTTATTTCTGGGCCATATCGGCCACGGCTGCTCAGTGAGAGTGTGTGAGCGTGCGAGGGCCCAGACGCGCTGTGACACCAATACTAAAGCTCAGCTATGCTAGCGTGCACGAGGAAGGAATAAAGGGGGTTTGTTGTCCTAATAGCCCACTGTTTCTTTTCCACGCTTGCTAGCCTCGCCTGCTCGTTTAGAGCCACGCCAGAAAATAAACAGGCCGTTCCTCACACAGTCTAAGCCAACAGCACAGCTACGGCCATAACACAACGCAGCTTCGTGAACAAGAGTTCAGCAATGCACTCGTCCCTAAACCAAACAAGAAGTGCCTGGAGAAAAATTCTATCATGAGATTTTAAAGATGCTTGGATGATGAATTTCAATCAGAGATACAGTACTGTGCAAATGACCAGCCTTCATTTATTTAATCACCAGGAAATCAGATACGAGACAGAAGACCACCCCCCTGAATAAAAAAAGGGAAAACTATAATTATAAATAACTATAAATACTCAGATCTGTTAGACCATCAACGTTATCACCATCAGATAAACAGTACTTAAAGCTTTCATCTTTGAGAAAGAGGAGAAAATCAAGCTCCACTCTGGCTAAAAAACTGCAAAAAGGTATTTCTCTCCATCCTTCCACTGTGAGAAGACAACTCAGCACTATGGGAAAATCAAACAAAGAAGCTGCAGGTGTTCTCAGAACAATGGACTGACCTCCTCAGACTCCAGACTTCAACCTCACTGAATATGTTTGGGATTACTTATATTGTGAGAAGGAGACAATGCAAACTTCTAAGACTAGATCTTGGAGATGTGGAAAAATATCTCTGCAGGTTTCTTTGAAAAACATAAAGTAAGACTCATGAAAAAAACGGGAAAGCTGTAAGTGTGGACGCATTACATACTGAAAAAATGTATTTTGTGTTTTTAGTTGTTGATGCTTCTGTAAAATTTTCTGATAAATATGTTTTCTGCTTCTTTTATCTTGATGCAGAAAAATAAATAACTCGCATATGATGGCTGCAAATTAAATAAACGAAGGATGGTGTCTGACCTTAGCACAGTACAGTGGCTAAAAAGGGCTACAGTTAGCACAGAGTTGCTTTGAAACCACATAAACACGTCTGAGATTACTTAATAACTCAACGTGGTTTGAGGCAAATGTGTGGTGATTTCAAGCCTGCAAGATGCTAATTCATGTGATATAAGCTTCCTTACTTGTTAGCTACATCAGCCCTGTAGTTCCAGTGAAACACTAAAGAAACAGACTTCAGACAACAAGCGTGTTTTGGGGGTTCGACTGCATTTGGGATAAGAGGAACTTTGAGTTAGAGGTGGGCGATATGGCAAATATTTAATATCACGATGCTATAAGAAGTTTACACAATGCTCAGTATGTCGTGATATATTTTTTTCAAAATCTATGAATACAATGAATTGTATTCAACACTGCACATACTGTGCTGCACTAAATTCAAATAAACAGGACCACTTATGCTCTCTTTGTAATCAAACATGCTGAAATTTATCACAACACTGATACATACTGTCATATTGCCCAGCCCAACTTTAAGCATATTTCATTTTTTGATAAACCATTTCTCTAAAACAAAAATCAGAATATGTTCCATTAGCTTGATCATGAGCACACTACAGACTCAGAATGAACAGAGCACACTGTACATTCTATACTGTTCTTTTTCAACTTCAGAGCTCCACTCTGGCAAAATGCAAAAAGCTACTTCTGTCCATCCTTCCACTGTAAGATGACAACTCAGCGCTATGGCAATATCAAACAAAGAAGCTGCTGGTGTTCTCAGAACAACGGACTGACCTCCTCAGAATCCGGACTTTAACCTCACTGAATATGTTCGGGATTATTTGGATTGTGAGAAGTAGAAAATGCAACCAACTTCTAAGACTGAACTTGGAGTTGTGGAAAAACAAACAAAAAATATTACAATATGTTCCATAAGCTTGATTATGAGCATACTAGACACTCGGACTGAACACAGTACACTGTAAATTTTGTTCTGTGTTCTTTTTCAACTTCTATAGAAAATCAAGGTCCATTCTGGCTAAAAAAAGCAAAAAGGTATATCTGTCCATCTTTTTTAACTTCTATATCTTTTTCAGCTTCTATATTCCTAAACGCATCACTGAAGGTCTGCTTTACTGTGGCACTGTGCGCAAGCCAACAAATGTTCTTTTTCGCATAAACGTCCTCTTACCGTCCACGCAGGCCGGCCTGGCTCTCGTCGTGCCGGCGATTTGGCCTTTCTTGCAGGCACAGCGGGCAGTCTGCCGGGCGATGGTCCTCCGTGGCTGGCTGCTGTCTCTGTCCAACGTGACGATTTCACAGGTTCCTGCTGCCAACTGACCTACAGCACGCACAAACAGAGCGAAAAGTCAAAAAGAGCGTTACACAATGCTCCCATGACAAGTTACACAAAACATCCATAACACTGCCAGCATACAGTGCAGACAAACAGGGGGGCCTCCTGGGTCCTGGTCTGAAATTTATTTAACGTGTGCCACAGAATTTTCACTTCTGCCTGACTGAATAAAATCCAGATCTAGTCTCCTTAAATATTCCTTATATGTATTTATCATCCTACTCATTCTGCTGTATTAAAATAGAGATGCTCAACATACTGAGTCTCGAGTCTCTGATCATTTATGTCTCAAGTCTTTGAGCTGTGAGTCCAAAGCGAGTCTTAAGTCTCTGAAGTGCCAGTCTGAGTTAAGTCTCAAATATTTAGTCAGGAACATCAGTTAAGTCTCAAATTATTATCAGAAAATAAGCTAAACTTGCTATATCATTTATATACAGAACTGCAGCGCACAATGTGCAGAGCAATGGTTTCAGTTACAGTCTTCTGTCTGGGATGGCTCTGGCAGGACAAAGAGTCTGTGTGGACAAAAAGTCTCTATTCACTCTTTCTGCTTCACTCTCCCTTATATAATGTTCAATATAGTCAATAAACTGCTACATGTTCAACAAAGTTGGGGTGGCTTATGTGGCACAAATATAATATCACGATTGGGTCTGTCACAGTTATTACATAATCACTTCATCACAATTATTTGAAATAAGTGGTTCTTTAGGATGATCACAATTATCATTTTCCACATTAGATTTCACAATAATTTTAAGTCACAACAAACAAAATGTGAATTAATTGTGCTGGGTAAACATAATTAAATGTAAATATAAAAAAACAGTATATGCATTTATTCAGACGCATTATAGGACAAAGTCTTACTTCAAACTTGGTGCTGTGGCACATTTAGATGATTTATTTGTTTAGATCCATGTAGCCAATTCTAATATTTTTAGCATGTACGCTAGCAGAATGAGAGGGTTTTGATGTTTTCACTTTTAAGAAATAAATACAAGCTTTGCTTGACAAGACAAGATTCTGTGTAACCACAGACATCAGCGTGAGAGTTTGTGCGCATACCAAACAGTCCAGCACACCAACTTAACAGTACTACTAGTGTTAGCTACCTAGTAAACACAGCTAGGAAGCAAAATGGCTAATATGCCAATATGGTCACTTTCAGTTTATACTTTAGATGCACAGCATGTACAAGACTATTAAATCATTAATCCCAATTATTTATGACAATTCATCCTCAGCTAAAATTCCGTTATTGTGACTCTAATCACAATACTCTTAGATGCACGATGTGTCATTATATTTATTTTTTTCTGACATCTGTTAAGCTGAAACAGACAAAAAAGAGCCAGAGGTGTCCAAATAAAATAACATCAGCATTTATGAGCACAAATGATTTTTATGTAACATTTCACATACAAAATCCATTTTCTATGTGTCCTGAAACATCCATATGGTCATTTTTCCTTTATCCACAATATGCTCAGAAAAGCATACTGTAAAGTAATTTATCATAATATATACTGTCATACTGCCCAGCCCAACAACTAAAATAATATATCAGTATAAAATATATCAACTCATTCTGTTTTGAAGTCTGCAACTTACTAAAAAACAAACATATTACATCTTTGCTAGATTAACCATTAGGCTAGCTAGCATACTATCAACACTTCCACAAGTACATTCTGATCACTGACCACTGAGTGAGTTATTTTAGTATGCGCGTAGCTGCAGTTCTAGACTGTGGTTTTTGTGCAGTATCGGCTCCACGTCATCGGCTGAACGCTATGGGGAATCAGCAGGCTGTTACACGTTGTCCTGTTTCCTGTGGTAATATTATTTTGTATTAGCCAGTTTTGTGCAGATGTTTTAACGAAGTGGTGACGCATCATAACTTCTGATTCTATGATTCACTGAAACTGCTAAATATAAAGTGCTTTAAAAAGAAAAGATAATCACAAGAAGCCAACTGTGGTTGCAGCCATGTTTGATTACACTAACGTGAATCACTGCATTCTAGGGGTGATGACAGAAATTATGAGATGAGTTTAAAACTGAACATTTTAACTTTCCCCCATACTATATAGTAACCAGCCATGGCAAAACCGTACTTGCGAAAGGGTTAAAATACGGTCTAACCAAGGATTTGTGTTTTATTTCTTACTAAAAATATCTTCTAAAACTGTTTTGCCAGTTCCTTTAAAAGCATATATTCTGCACACACTATGCTTTATGTCTACAAACTGAAGTTTTTCCTAAACACCTATTGCAATAAATCGCTCATCATTTGAAACCATACCAATCCTGACACCACTGTGAGCTGTGAGAGATTAGAGTCACACTTAATGTCTGCACATGGCAGTCATAATGTTGACAGGCACTTTTGAAAAACATAGCGTTTTACTTACAGCATCATATACGGCATATGCCTTCTTCAGCTCGAAATGTTCTGGAGTCCGAGTCAAGCTGTGAGTCAGTCTACATGAGACTCAAAGGCAACTTAAGCCTGATTCGCTGACTCGAGTCTCCATCTCTGATGTGGGGGGGGTGGGGGTGGCCTCAGATATTAAAAATACATTCCGTAGTGCATGGTCTCAATCATTAATTCATACTACGTCCGTGTTTCAGACATGCTGTGACACATTTATAGGGGGTTTTAGACGTTTCCTCAGTCACTTACATTTGAAATTATTAGCTGGCTTATTTGAACTGTATGACAAAAGATTTCCTATTGACATGGTCTAATTCATAAGTACATCTTAGAACATAATGGCAGAGCAGAACGAAAGCAGACGATCCCCTCTGGACGTTTGCCTAGAGGTATTTACTTTATGTCTGTAAGAGCTTCTCTGTCCTCTCTAAACTGACTGCTGTGTTTGCCGCTTATAAACGAAGTGCAGTGCATTCATACTAATGTACTTCAAAATTAAAGCAGTGGCATGGGACTTTGGTTAGAGCCAGCTGACACTTCTGCTCTGGCGCTCCACAACAATTAACCTGTGTACGTGTGTGTAGGTGATAGAGGCCTCAGGGCTGGTCCACAGGGGCCTTTTTTCCCCACTGCCAGACATCTTCATTTTGATTGGCAGTGGGGTCAGAGGTCTGATCTGATCTGGCCTGGAGCCCACAGACTGGCTACCCAGTCTGTGAGAGTTAATTACAGCAACGCAGAGGTCTCACTCGGGCTAATGGAGATCCATCAGAGTCTCTGCCTTACTGAGGTGTCACAGGAGTATGTGTGGGACGACATAGGTTATTCAACCTTTCGCGAAACAAGACACGGAGGCCTTCCGTGTACGTCTGTTCCTATGTGTGCTGACCTGGGAGTTTTACTGACAGTCAAGGAGACCCATGCGGTGCATCATATCCATTTGGCAGAGGCCAAATTTCCATTATTCATTTATTTAAAATGCTCACTTGGAAAGCAAATCCACCACACAGCTTTAAAAGTCTCAGACAAGGCTGCTGTTTCCCTTTTGTTAAAAATATACTATGCAAAATATTAAGATTTTGAACTTGAACATTTAAAAACGAAGGACTGTTCACTCAAGTTATGTTGCAGAATCCACATTAAACTCAGTTCATAATCTCCACGATCTGAATGTAAATTATCCATAATCTGAATGTAAATTATAATTTGAATGGAAATTAATGCACGGGTACAAGAACGAAAGACTGTGCTTCCTCCAATTTGTCATTGTAAACAGGTTTAAATGTGCATTTTACTGAGCGAATGGTTTATAAGATCAAGGTCATCAATGAAAAATACGTGAACCCACCTGGACATCACATTTATATGTGCTTGTTGAACATCTCATTACAAATCAAGGGGTATTAATATGGAGTTTGTCCCCTCTTTGCTGCAGAAACAGCCTTCACTCTCCTGGGAAGGCTTTACACTAGATTCCACTAGCATTAGTGAGGTCAGGAACTGAAGGCCTAGCTTGCAGTCAGCCTTGCACTTCATCCCAAAGGTTTTATATGGGGTTGAGGTCAAGGCTCTGTGCAGGCCAGTGAAGTTCTTCAATACCACACTCAGCTAACCATTTCTGTATGGGGCATTATCAAAGTCACTGAGATCTTCAGTATAACCTATTCTACCGCTAGTGTTTGTCTATGAAGACTGCACATCTTTATGCTTGATTTTATGCATCCAAGTTTTGCATTGCAATGTTATTAGCAATAGGTGTGGCTGAAATAGCCAATAATAAGAAGGGGTGTCCACAAACATTCAGCCATGCAGTGTATTAGTAGTCTAGCCTCCTTTATTGGCAGCGACTTCCACCAGACACTTTCTGTAACTGCTGAACGTTCCGGCAGGAAGAATTTTAATGTGTTCTTCTATATAAAGCCGTTCTAGTTCATGTATAGTTTCCTGATGTCTTTTTTACAGTCTGCTTCAGGTCATTCATTGAGATTGAGGTCAAGACTCTGACTCAGCCGAAAGGAAGAATTTCTTCGGTTTGAATGTTGTTCATTTACTCCAATATTTTAGATCACTGTCATGTTTCATAATCCAACTCCTTTTGAGTTTTAGTTCATAGGTGGACATCCTGACATTCTTCTGAAGAATTACCAGACACAGCTGTTAATTCGTTGCTCACTGTATTGTTGGAGTGCACTGGTTTCCTCCACAGTAGGAACATTTTGTTTTTGGGTAGACTTGTTAACGCATACGTTACCAAGTGAACAAAGATACCTGTATCTAGAGTCACCACAATGCCAACATTTGAGGGGTTGACAACCATATCAGTGAAATTTGATGATTTGACACCAAACCATTATGCATAATCTTTTATTTATAAACTATGCAAAGCCTTATTATTCAGTAAATACAGGGACTTTAAAGCAAATTAATGGAGTTATTCTTAGGTTATACAAGTGTGTAATAAAACTTTGGGCCTGCTGGTGGACTCATAGCTTGTTAAGGGGTTAAAACTCAAAGCTAGTCATTCAAATGTTAAAGCAATTAGCTT